CGTATCTCTTCAGTCGGCAATTGCAGGTGAGTTATCCTCACTATATCGACAGGGTCTACGGCACCAAGGTTGGCCCTTTTATCGGATGGAAATCCGGGTATTGTTTGTTATGTTATTGTTTTGCTAGATCTACATCCTGGTATTTAAGATGGTGTTATGTTAGTGACCTGGTTAAGGTCGGTACCCGGTATATAGGGTAATGTTATGCTAGTGACCGGTTAGGTCGGAATCCTGGTTAGGATGTTGATATGCTATGTGATCTGTTAGACTGTTTGTCTGGTTAAGGAATTGTTATGAGATTAATTGTTTATGTGCACATGGTTGTTTGGCGGGGGTTGGGTTGAGGCGGCTCCTGCTTTGTGCTGTAGGCCAACATACCCAGAGCGAACCGGATATTCTGAAGGCCCAACGAGCGGTCCGGATAGGCTGAAGGCCCCAAGAGGGCGGACCAGACGTGTCGAGGCTCGGAGAGTGGACCAGGCCGACTGAAGGCCCGGTGCGGGCGGACCAGTCATACTGTAGACTCAGAGGGTGGACAAGGTGGACTGAAGGCCCGGTGCGGGCGGACCAGTCACATAGTAGACCCGATGTGCATGGCTGTTCTATTTGTGATATGTTATGAGTATGTTCATGTGTGGTTGGTATTTTGGGGGTAACTCACTAAGCTTTCGGGCTTACCGTTTCAGTGTATTGTTTCAGGTACTTCAGGAGATCGTGGCAAGGCGAAGGCGTGATCGTACCGCTCCTCATATTTTTACGATTTATGTGATATGGTTCTGGGGATACTCTGATGCTTAAATTATTTTGAAAACAAGATGTATGAACTTAATGGTTTTTGAATGAATTAAAATGTTTTAATTTGGCTCAATTTTTATGGTGTTACACTCTCTATGTTACAAAATTTTATGGATCCCCTCCTAATAGATTCACCCTATGATTAATGTAATGATTGTGAAAGTACTTATTTGTGTTTCTAAAAACATAATATATTACAGCCGTGTTTTATACGGAGCGTTTCGGAGCTTTTAGCGTTTGATACTACAAGCTTTTAACGTTTAGTTTAAACAAAACACTCCAAATCTAAAGGCTATCTCACATATCGTTTAACAAAAAACTATCATCAACGAGCTACCCACTACTGCTACCAGCTAGTTTTATCAAACACACCCTACATATGAGATACAATTAGTTAAACAATACATGCTTATGAGCAGAACAAACATTGTAAATTGCTTACACTCACACAATAATGAATTATACATTATTACATGATTAACATCATGAATATTTATACTGAAAATTTTGCCATAATGAAAAATGTATATTCTAGACGAAAAATCAAGCTAATAACCATTTTATGACCATATATTCATTTTAGTTATCAAAGCGAAGGACCTATACATCTGCTAACACATGTCTTTGTACCAAGCTTGTATTTTTAAGCTTACTCCTAGTATAATTTTTAGGGCTTATTTCAGGTGGTGAGGTTTCTGCAATATTTTTGGATATATTCATAATTTCTTCTAAAGAGGCAACAACCTCATCCATCATTGGCCTATTCTTAGGATCATTACGAAGACACTTTAACGCGAGTGCAGCCACAGCTTGTGCATCCTTCTTCGGATACCTGCCTCCTAATCGTGTGTCCATAATTCTAAAAACTCCTCTATTGTCAAGTAGAAATGGCTTCACCCATTCAACCAATGTCTCTTCGACTCCCCCTGCTCTCTCATCAGCAATTGCTCGTCGTCCGGAGAGCAATTCCAACAGAACTACTCCAAAGCTGTAGATGTCGTTCTTTTGAGTCAGGTGCCCTTTACAAATGAAACAATTAATGTGTCAAAAATATTTATACTAGCATGGAGCAAACCATTAAAAATATTGGGGTTTGATTTGGAAAATGATTTTTTTTTTTTTGAAGAAATGAAATCTGAAAAATGAAGTTGAATATGTAGGACCTAGGAAATGAGAGAGGACTGTAAGTTTGTAAATTGTAACCTCATGTTTTTGAATGAAGGGTAGAGTCTTTGTTTCTTAGATTGAATGTATGGGGTTCTAATTCAGGCGTTAACGATTTCTACTAACTTGATTATACTAATTTCTAACCACTAACTAATTCAAAAAAATAATAATATATTTTTTTTAAACACAACATTTTAGTGTTTTGATTAAAAAAAAATAGGACAATGGTATTCTTTTTATCCCATGTAAGAACGTGAAATCCATCAAACATGAACTATAAAAAATAATTCCGTCATTTGATAACCAAGTTCGCTAATCCACAAACCAAACACATCTTGAACATCTTAAAGTTTCTAAGCATGGCGTGGAAAGTTTAAAATTTTGATTTTTTTTTTTTTTTTCAAATTCACAACTTTTTACTTCTTAATTCAATACGTATCGTTAACTTATAAAAATAATATTGTTAACAATTGGAATTAAAAAGCAAAATGTGCGACGAAACATTTATAAGTGTTGAATACGTAGCCAAATGGCCCAAATCCATTTCATGTTTGAAAGTTCAAAAGCGGAATATTTGACCAGAAAAGTCAAACCATATTTATCTACCTGTCGCTACGTATTCTGGAGCAGCATAACCACTGGTTCCCACAACCCTGGTTGAAACATGTGTGTTGTCTCCTACCGGGCCATTCCTCGCCAACCCAAAATCCGATAGCCTCGCTGTAAATTCCTACAAATTTCAGTAATAACAAGATCATCAATCTTTATATACTTCTTAAATCCATGATCATGATCATAAGATTCTTTGAATAATCTTGGCATACGTACCGAATCCAGCAAGATGTTAGCAGCCTTCAAATCACGGTAGATGATATTGGGTTCTTTACTATGCAAGAACGCTAACCCTTGAGCTACATCAATGGCTATGCGCATCCTGATGGACCAGGAGATGGGTTCAACACCTTCTGCAAGAAAAAAAAGATGATCGTGTTCAGTGAAAACCAAGAATTAAACCAGGTGCATCATGCATGGTTGCAAGCTTGCATGCCATGGAAGCATCGACAAAAAGCTCACTTCTAAACAGGTGGTTTTCCAAACATCCTTTTGGCATGAACTCGTAAACCAAAAGTCTATTTTCACATTCCTCGCAGTATCCAATGAGTTTAACAAGATTTTTATGACGAAGCTTGCCCAAGTAATCGACCTCCGTCTGCAAGTTACAAGAATATAATCATAACTATGTCGTCCGTTCTATTCTTATTGAAGATGATGATACTGATAGTCATGATACCAAAAAGGAAAAGAGAAAAGATTACTTACAAGCCACTCTCTGTGACCTTGATGGCTTTCTGACTTGAGTACTTTGACTGCGATAACTTGACCACAGCCAGGTTTCGCCGGAGCTAAGGTGGTTTCATCAATCCAACCTTTGAAAACACGACCAAAACCTCCTTCCCCGACCATACTATCCGGCCGGAAATTCTTGGTGGCGGTCTTAAGATCGTTGAAAGTGAAGGCCTTGAGGTTAATGGGTATTGGACAATTCTCATCTCCAGATGCCCTTGAAATTTTCTTGAAGATTATAGTTCTTGATCGATGCTTTCTTTCATTTTGAGCCTTTGCATAATCTACAACAACCAAAAATTTTATGAAGATCAAAAACCGGATTCATAACCACTAGAAAGAGGAGAAATTTTGACTATCTATTAAAGAAGAAAGCATACCCATGAACTGTGAAGAAGAAACATGAGCAACATTTGCAGGCTTTCCCACACAAATGCCCATTCAAAATTTTTTGTATCATGAAAAAGAAAAAGGCAATTGGGTTATAATGGCGGTTTTGGTTGCTACAGAAGGAGTACATGTTTGAATATTGTGCTGTGATGTGCTGACTAAGAATTTTCTACCATATTTGTTTATTATGTCATTATCGTTCCAGACTAAATCTACTTTTGGGTTTTGTTTTTTTTCACTGTATAATTTATTACAATAGTTTTTCTTTAGTAGAAAACTATATTTGTGTATCAAGGTATATAGAGTTTCGTGTGAGCTTAATTAAATAGATTGAGATTCTTATTAGGTAATAAAGGGCGTGTTTAGTCCGGAGAGTTTGGGAGCGTTTGATAGCTTCTATCTTCTTGCGTTTGACAAAATTGTATGTTTTGAACAGAAAGTCTCGTTTGACACTACAAGCTTCTAGCGTTTAGTTTAAATAAAACGCTCAAAATCCAAATGCTACTTTACGTAGCGTTTAACAAAACGCTACCCGCTACCAGCTATTTTTGCCGAAGAGGCTCATAGTTTCTGAGTTTTAGCTAAGAAAAGTATTTGAGTAAATTATACGAATGGACCCTATGATTTGGGGTAATTTGCATGTTTGGTCTCTAACTTATTTTTTTAACTCAGAAGATCCTTAATGTTTGTTTTTGTTACGCGTTTGGTCCCTACTTTTTGTTTTTGTTACGCGTTTGGTTTCTGTCTTACCTAAAAAAATTATTATATAAATAGAGAAAAATTGTGGGGTAGGTAAGGTAAGGTAAGGTGAGGGGTGGGGTCGGGGTCGGGGTGTGTTTATTTAAATAAATTAAAAAATAAATGACAAATAGTCTTTTTAGGTAAGACAGAGACCAATCGTGTAACAAAAACAAACAGTAGAGACCTTCCGAGTTAAAAAAATAAATTAGGGACCAAACGCGTAAATTACCCTAAACCATATGGACCATTCGTGTAATTTACTCAAAATATTTTGTGTTTCCGAGTTGAAGTTAAGTAAACGGAAAATTAAATATTTTGTTCATTTTTCTCCAAATCCTTTTAAACCGAAAGGAAACTTATAAGAGAAAGTGATTCTTAAATTTTATTTTACTTCATTCCTTACGTCTAGTTCCTGAATTTTAGCAAGTAAAAGAAAAAAATGGGAAATAAAGTAAGGAGAAAAAATAAGAGAAATGAAAGGAAAAGAAATTTGTATTTTATGTTCCCAAGTTAGAGAGAAACAGAAGGAAATTAAATATTTTCTTTTTCTTTTCTCTAAATCTTTCCAAATTAGAAGAAAAATTATGAAAGAAAATGATCATTTTGTTTCCTTCCACTTCCTTCTTTGAAACTCAGGAACACAAATTATTTTACTTTCTTTTTTCACTTTCATCCATTTTTCTTCTTTTCTTTCGTTAAATTGAACTTAGGAACATCAATTTCTTTTACTTTCTTTTTTCTTCAATCCATTCCGTCACTTCTTTACCCACGTTAAGTTGAACTCAAAAACATGAAATGGATATCAAGTTAGTTATCGTTTACCTATTTAAATTATCAAAGAGTTAGTTTATTCGTATTACCGTACTTCTTGATATTATATATTTTGTCTACTCCAAAAAATTTCATTTGCCATGCTTTGAGTATATTTGGGAAAATTACTTGCAGTTGTGTTATATATTTGTAGTTGTAGTCGTGAGTTGTTGCTCGTAGCCGCATAGATATGTTAAACAAAGAGACTACTTGTCTCTAATTCCTACAACTTTTCGTATATTAGTTAGTTAATTGAAATGCTTTATATGTATAAAAACATTATTTTTACACTTTGTTACTTACATTTGCTCTCTTTGCCTTTTGTTTTTGTTATCTTATAATGTATGAAAATATAAGTGAAAGACGATTGAAAGTGACTTAACAACACGTGCATGTATGTGGTTTATTTGTGTAACATTCCACCACTAATAACCAAATTATGATCCATATATTATGGGTTCAAAAGAAATATAAATAAATATATATATATATATA